TTGACGTTTAATTAATTTACAGAGTGACAAGAAATCTTCTCAACCATATACACGCCACCACTTGACAAACCTAATTAAGCTCACTCTATGCAGAAAGACATTTCACTCCTTATCTTGGCTCCAAACTCAATTCGAACTCATACATGTTTAAGGGTTATGCACGGCAAAAAACATAAGCTGGACAAATTCTTGTCATCTTCTTCGGCTTTCTAACAATGTAAGTTCAACCACAGAATCAACCATACACGTGTTATATATAAATATATATTTATATATTATATTATATTTGTAAGATAATTTATATGCAATATATATAATTTATAAACGAAAACAAAAACCCAAGTCATTTACGTGCACAACTCAAAGTCTAAGAGTTGGCTATATTGTACAGAATTGCACCGTCCAACTCTTTCATACCTAATTAATGTTTTGCCTTTGGTAATTTCAATCCAAAAAATATATAGAACAATTGCTTCTAGTTGTTAAATTCTAGTACACCGACAATTCAACCAACGAAGACAATGTTGGGTAAACTATACACTTTTAGCATGCATATTGAACAAAATTGTCTTATATATACAGATAATAGTCCAAGAAGAACCGCATGTTTCTTTTTATTATTTGAACAAAAAATTGTATGTTTTTCGTTATATTTTTGAATTAGCGTGAAAAATTTGAACTCTCGACCTCCACATATCAGACTTAAAATTACTGCGAATTCAATATGTTACCGTTAAATTGGGCCTGTAAAATTAATTACCAATAGAAACCAATAGAAACGTATATTACTATTACTATTATTACTATTACTATTATTACTGTGCCTAGTAAAAACAAGCATATAATCAAATGTAACTTGATAAAGTTATTTATATACTTTGTGATCTGATCTCTTGAAAGAAAATAGCATCTAAAATTTCCCCATCCCTGAAAAGGAAAGAAAAATTTGCCCGGGGGCCGGGTGATATTCAACTAAACCTCGTTTGCTCAACAAATTAATTATGATCCGACGATATAATTATCCAACCTTTCAAAGACCTAAAAGTTCCCAACCTTCATTTTAAAAGGAAAAAAAGTGCATTCTCATAAGGATTTTATGAAAAATAGAACCTAAAAGTAAAAGAAGTAATAATAACAACAATAATACCACTGATGTCATCATGATACATATATACAAATTTTGAGTGAGCTTGTTATATAAATATTATTTATCAGCATATATTAGACATAACAATGATACGTATTATTATTATTATTATTATTATTATTATATGATGTGGTGGGGCTTGGTTTGTTTTCTTGATGATGCTATCATTAATTAATATTCTCATTATCGTGATTATTAGGAAGAATAAATGAATAAAGGAGTGGATGAAGAATCTTTTATTAGCGAAATTAAAGAAGGTGATACTTTCGTGTGGACGTGAAAAAGGGCAGAGAATGCGTACTGCGCACTCCGCGTACCTGACAAGTCGGCACACTGTTCACCACCGGCGGTTTAACTTTCCTTCACTTCTTGTGTGCTTTTTCGCCTCCGCATTTCCACAAACGCTTGGTGAACAATAATTTCTCTCTATAGTCAGAGAATTTATTACGAAATTGGAAAATTTGCTTCTTTTTTTTCCATTTTATTATTATTACACTAAAAAAATATTTTTTTACCCACCAAAATAAGTAAGGCTTTCTTTATGGTAAGACTATAAAAAAAACTCACCGATAGTAACGCTATATTTTAATTATTAGATTATTTTTTTAACGGTCAGATCTATAAAAAAAATAGTTTTGTGTGGTGCGTTATAAATTTTTAATATGAATTTATAAAAATTTAACTATTAAAAACGTAACTCAACAATCAAAATAGAGTGTTCCGCCTATAGATTTTTTTAAAAGATCTTACCACATAAGCTCCCCTTTTAATAAGGCCAAGAAGAAGATATGTTTAAATTACTATTAACAATAAATTATATTCTTCTAAGAAAACACTAAATTATTTATCAATTTGAATTTAAATAGTTCACAAAGAATTGAATATTAAATAATGTGACAATATACTTATCAATTAATAAATAAAATGTACTTTAATAAATTCAAATATAATTTTACTTTATTATACAAAGTAAATTGTCATGCTATTAGTATTTGGTATTTAAATTTAGTAAATAATTTAATACTATTTTAGATACGTACCTAATTAAAAAAAAATAGCCTTGTTTTTTGTCCACTTTAATTGGTGGAATTTTTCTTAGATGTCAAGTGAAATCAATAATTAACGAATAGTATTATTGTAACACCCTGAAGAATTAATTGAGATTAATTAAGGTAATTGAGATTATTAGTGTGCCTAATCTGAATTTATTAATTGATTATTAATAAATAAATGTTTCTGACATGTGTAAATTTAAATAATTCCAAGGTATTGAAATATTCTGAGTAATTTTATTTTTAAACCAGAAGTGTGTATGGGCGCATTTCTGGACTGTCATTTTAAATATTTTGCCATATGTCTTTTCTTTCCTTTTCTTCTTTTTCTTTTCCTTTTCTCTTCCTTCCCGTGCATTCACTCTCTCTCTCTCTCTCTTCCGTGCTCTCTCTCTCTCCCATTTGTGTCTCAAATCAAAACCAGATTTTTGATGATTTTGAGTAAAACTAGAGTAGAAATTGGAGATCTTGGGTTCTTTGGACTTGTTTTAGGACCTAGAACCCGGATCTAGTGGTTTCCCTTTGAAATATTTGGATTTGGGACT